TTCGTAAACTCTGCAATTAGCTTTCCTTCCAAACATGATCCCCTAAAACCCTGAGGAATAAAAATAATCCCACCACATGGTTCTCTCTGGATTTTTAAAATAAGCTAACATACTTTACCCACATAGGTAAGCTGGTATCTTACATAATTTACGAAAAGATAAAAGAATGTGATAACCATCTTTCCTAGGGTTTACAACTTTTAAGGAAAAACAAGATGGGCTATAGGGCTGCAAGAAAAGTACAAGATTATGACCTTGTACACTCTTTCCATGTTTAAGAGTGAGAGTTTGGGAATTCTTTTACAAATCAGGTTCCCAGAAAAAGGAAAATGCCATGGTTATGAACAAAAAGTCTAAACCAAGGGAAAAAAGGTCAATGACAAATAGGATTGGGAACTTGTCTAAATAACTAAGGGGTCACAGCTGCCTGACCCCAAAATCATAAAGAAAAGGACTGAGGATCATCAAACAGCTGCTAGAGAGCAAATTCAGGAAGATCCATTTAAACATTAAGTGCTAAATACTCTCCGGTCATTACCAAGTGCTTTATAAATACCATCTCATCTAAAACACTCAATCATCAACCATACATGGTTACTGTAACTTCCCCCCTTTTATCATTAAAAATTAAGGAATATAAATATGAAATAAAAGGACACAGTTGGTAAGTAGTGGAGTGGGATTTGGCCTTGAGTGATCTAACTGCGTCCTCAACCACACACTGTAGGACTTTAACTCTCCCATCCGGCCCCACCTCAACAAAATCCAGGACTTTCAGTAGGGACTTCCAACCTGGGGAACCAGGAACAGATGGGAGGCAGAGACAGACAGAGAAGAACACCTGATCTCTGCAAGTACCTCTGCATGGGAATGTGTTGAGACAGAAGGCAGTAGAGGCCATGGGGGTGGCTCTGACTAACCCTCCTGGTTCTCCAGGTAACTATCTCCTCTCACTCTCCTTGATTCCTGACATATTCTAGGAGAAGAAGACTGTAAACCTTCCTCCTGCAAAGAATACTGGGAAACCCTGAATGGTAGGATTTCAGCCACATTGTGTTCTTAGTATCCCAGAGGTTTTACAGAGGGCTGCATGTAGATGTCAGGCTTGAAAGAGAGCAAGGAGCCCAGTATATCTAGACAGCTGAAGTTAAATTGAAACTTCTCTTATGATTCAGCAAACTCAAAATTAATGCTGTCTCAATCTAATGGCTCTTAGCTTGCAGTTTGCTATCTTGTGAAGATTTCTATGAACAAAGCAAATCTTTTGTGTTTGGATAGTTCATCTTGAAAATGGTTCTCTAAGCAACACATCACCAAGCTGAATAACCAACATTTGTAAAAGTCTGTGCTAAGTTTTGTGGCAGACACTTCCCCTTTGGTATGGACTCTAAAATCAAGTTCCAGAGACAGAAGAAAATAGTGGTTTGAGGAGAAGGAGCAGAACAAAAAAAGTGTTCTGTATGGAAGGCAACTAGAAGGAAATTTGCAACTTTAACTATATATCTAAATTGCTGACTTATTCAGCCAGTAGAGTCCTATAAATAGTCTAAGAATGTGCCACAGTATTAATCTTTTATACACTGTATAGAAATATTACTAAATCATGCACTTATTAACTCTTCTACATAGGTGAAAACAATGTAATTGGCTCCAACATGTAGCAGTTTCTTTCAAGTCAACTTTTATCTACCCATTATTATAGTGTTTGAAGAGAGAGAGAAAATTTTAAGCGGATACAGTTCTGGTTCAATCACTTGTTAAACTGTGTATCCTTAGGAAAATAATTTAATATCTCAGGCTCTTTCCTCACCTCATTATCTAATGGGATAATACGAGTGAAAGAGCTTTTATAGAACTATGAAAGTACATTATCCCTGACTGGTAACCAATTTTTAACACTCTGATTGTTACTGTAAAAACCATGATGAAAGCCTACAATTATCCAAGCATATTTCCCAATGCAGTGAAGGATTTTGTTTGCCTAAAATTACATACCATATATATATGTATGTATTATAATATATATATATTACTTTAAAAGTCTAGACTATATTTCTACTCCACATTTACTTTGCAGATTAGAACCTTAAAGACATTCTTTAAATGCTGCTACAATTCGAAAGCAAATCCCAAGTTCCACATCTAACCTTGAGAGTATGAGTTATTAGCCCTTTTGGTGATGATGTAATTTTGTAAAAATCAAAACTAGACCAATAATTATATTTAAAGTAACAAGAACAATTTTTCAACATGCTTAACTAGAAACTGAAAAGAAGAAGGAAACCAGCTGGGCATAAAACTGATAGTTGCTAGGATTAATACAATCTCTAACTTCTTTGCAATATAATACAATCTTTAACTGCTTTAAAAATAAATCATTTTATAATTTAATTAGGTTTCCATCTAGAGAAAAGTGCCAATGCAGCTAAGATAAGAGAAAGTAGGCTTGCGTGATTTGTTTAAAAGGAAGCCCCATCATCATAGGGCTTAATATTTTTTTATCTCCAATTCAGCTCAAAGTCCTCAGAATGACTTTTATATCAAAGAGCTTCAGTGAGTGACAAGAGCAAGACTTGCTTTGTCCTGTTTAAAAGTCATTATTCCATGAAATAACTTTAGCCTGCCAAGATGAGAAAGAATAACAGATGCGGTTTTTGCATTATCTGCACTATTTCCAGCCGTCATCCTTAGACATTTGGGTCAAATTTCTAGAAATTTGTTACTTGCATTTGACAGAGGAATTATGTACCCTAACCTCTCAGTTTGACCTTTCTAATTGGCATCCATTTGTAATACTTCGCTTTCTGTGGCAATTATCCTTAAGCTGCTCCGAATTTAATCTGTTGTTGTTGTTTTTTTTTTTTTTAATGTGTACTGGTGCATAGTTCAGAATGTTTTCAAAGTTGAAACTTTCACACACAATAAGCAAACCAATAAGAGACAGTTTCTTCACATATTATGGTGCATAGATTCTGAAGCTCTTTTAATCTTTTACAACCTTAAAGTAGACTGAGAAGTTATTTTGTTCAGATGTGTTTATTCATTATTTTATAATCTGTATGTGGATTTTAAAAAATCAAATATTACTCTTAAAGGTGAAATCTCTATTTTCCATGGTGATGCAAATTTTGTTCCTAAAACCAAATAAATAGAAAAATCAATCATTTTCAATTGCTCATCTGAGCAATTGTTTTACAGATTATTATATCACAAATTGCTATATCATAACAGCCAGATGAGCAAATGAAATAGGTAAATCATTTTATAATTCTTATAATGAATGAGTAAAAGTTTAACAAAGATATCTATTCATTTTAGTAAACTGGCATATTAGCGGTTTATCATATTTATATTATAGTTACCTTATTAAATAGAATAGGCAATATTTATTGAGCTCTTACAATGTATGAAATATTCTTCTAAGTATTATAGAAATTATTCATTTAATCTTCAAATAATTACAGAAATTGCTCCAACTCTACCTTGCCCTTCAAAAGTTATTAACAAATTACTTGTAGATGCTAAGAAAAGGAAAATTGTAAAAGTCTTACACATAAAATCAAGTACAATTCTCACTGAGTATTTCAAAAGCATGGCTTTTTCTCTTTTACTTTCCTTTTTAGTTTTATTTTAGGATTCCCTATTTTTAATGCTCATACAGAGATTTCTTTAACTTAAATACCTACCGAAAAGTTTCTTTGGTGTGAAAAACTATAATAGTACACAGGATCCTAATGAGATAATTACTAATGTGAAATAGGAAGTAAAGGGCTAAAGGTGTAGGGAAAGTGGGAAGGGTGGGGGAAAGGTAATAAGGGAGAGGAAAAAATATGAGAACATGAAAAAATGGAAATAAAGTGTTTGTAAACAGAGAGGGGAGGAAGGGGTGAAGGGAGGGCAGGGACAAGGGGAAAAAATGAGAATCAAGACCTACTATGTAAAGGTACAGGATCCCAATGATGAATGTAACTGTATTATATACCTAGATTGTACCAATAAACTCAATAAAAAGAAAAAAAATAAAAAGCATACAAAGTGAAAATCTCACATAGTGTCAAGTAATTGCATTCTCAATTAAAATTTCTAATATACTGTGAAAATTGGAAAGCAGATAATTTGGAAATTTATTAATTAGAATTAAGAAATAAATATTAAAGGTCTAATTTTAAAGACAAATTGTTTTCTAAAATTTAAAATGTAAAGAAAGTATGCTTCTGAAAAAGCACAAATCATTTTTCAGGGCCATGCATACATTCTAATACAAATAAACAGAATCCACAAATGGAAAAGTTAAGCTATATATATTATCTTTAAAATGCTCTAATACTTCATGGATAATCAGCATTTTCATAACAAAACACAAAAATACTTCGTAAATTGATTATAAAATATACAAATGGTCTGAAAATTTTTAATGCAAAATTTGCCTTCATAGTATTAGAAATTCATTGAAATTTGATGGCCAAAAATACACGATAAAAATTCCTCAAAGTCAAGTAAAATATCTTTCTGGAAGGTCTTGTCATTACTAATTTTTTTCCCTCTCTGTTACTATGAAAATGTTGTATCTAATTTTTGACATCGTTAGTAGCATGGAAATTTAAACAAGAACTTCATCTACTAAACACACACACCATCACTATGCACATGTAAATTAAAATTTTAGGTAGCATCTTACTGCCACGCTACTTCCCTGTACTTGGGCCCTTCTAAGAAAAAAAAAAAAAGGACTCTGGCTTTAAGAAGGCTATTTTCAAATGAACTTACCCTTAAAACTTGCAGATACTGTAATATCTTTTGAGTAAATAAAATATTTAAATAATTACTTATAAACACATATAACAATTCTTTTGGTTATATGTACATACAAAATTTTTTTAATTGCCCTCTCTCTCAGCAAGTGTCTGTCTTATCTACTGGTTTGGAAAATAGCTTCATTCTGTGTTACAAATGCAAAAGCTCCAGAACACCTTTAACAGATATAAAGTAGTTCTACTTACACTTGCATGGAGTTTTCCTTTTTTTGACATCGCTAAAAATTTGTTGCTGAAAACTCCTCGTATTCCTACAATCCCCTGAGACACAGCAAATATTTCCAAAATACCTAGGATGACAGAAATCCCAAAATAAAACACAGACTCTTCTATGTATCATATGAAGAATTAAATTTCTACATATTCTTTCTATTTTTTATTACTAGAGTTTAAAAAAAAGAAACAGTATTTAATGTCCTTGTTTTGCGTGATTTTCGCTATGCTTTTTAAAAAGGCTAGCATTTATATTCATTTTAAATGATTAATTTTAATATTAAAAATTTGATCCTCTTCATCGGCAATCCCCCATCTCTCTCTTTCTCTCTCTCTCCCTGAAATTAAGTTGTTGCTTTTACTAAACAAGATTTGGCCATAGAATCTTTTCAAATTCTAAAGGAATTGAAGTTAGACAATTTTTTTGGAATGGTTTTTGAAATGATTCTCACTCATTATTTTTCCATCAGAGATAACACATTACTTTTAATATTAAAGCACATAAAGTCTGTTTCCACAACTAGTATAAACAATTCAAAAGTCTGGTATAATACTTATTTGCTAAGATAAATCCCTCTTCTCTAATCATAACAACTTAAGAAAACAATTTTTTTGTACCAATTTCAATCATCTAGTGAGCAATTTATGTAAAGACTTTACATAACAAGATACTAAAACATTATAAAAGATTTGGGATTATCTCCCAAATCAGTGAAGTTTTTAATGGATTATGCTTTGAGACATTTTGCATTTTGAACACTCCCTGAAAAAATTGAGATTTTATTACATTATTGTTTATATTTTGTATTTCATAGTTAATATTATCAAGCCAATGTCTGTTTCCTGCAATAATTCCAAAGTCTATATCAAACATATCAAGAAAATTATTCACCACAGTATATTTTAAGAAGATGAAACTCATAGTTACATATAATTGGAAAGCCTTCCTATTTATCATAAATTCAATATATAATATTACAGGAACATAAGAAAAGTATAAGTATGTTTTGTTAAGTTACCTATATAAAGTTACAAAAACGGAAACAAATAAAAAGAACAAAATAATATAGTTCACTAGAGCTAAAACAGGATCTGTCTTAGAGAAGAAAGAAAAGAGGTAAAAAAAATCTCAATACTTCAACCCATGCTGTTCTAAGCATATATATATATATATATATATATATATGTATATATATATATACACACATACACATATACAGTGAGATATCTCAAAAATTCACCAGATTGCCTCAAAATGCGAACCTATTACTACAATATTTGAAATACATAAAATTATTAAATTTATAAGAAGTATACATACACATGGATGAATACATTTATTGAGTGTTTATATTGTACAGTGAAAGCTAAGCATCTACAATTGTAGCAAATACTGTTGTTTACTCATTCAGCTTGGTTTCTTAAAATTTCTTGATTAGAAAGTTTATGGGGGCAGGAAGAGGATAAGTAAACAACTGGACTTTCTTAAAAACATTCTTATCCCAGAGTTAATAAAATGCATCTCACAAAATTTGTGGAGCTTAATGGTTTTAATGAACAAAATTAAAAGGAACTATTTTTGCTTCTAGGAAGATGCCATTATATAAGTTGGTGTCCTATCTGTCCTTTCATTCAAAATGCTATTTACAATCAATTTTGCTATTATGATACACACCCACGTGTTTAGAGGCATTGTCATTTTATCAAATAGTAATAAAGCACATAGAATTTATAAAGTAGTGAATTTGAGTTTACAAAATTAAATTATGAAGATATGTCACTTGAAGTATATTTAACTTTATAAGGTTAAATTGAAAAGATGTAATTGTTATAATAATATTATTATTAAAATATGATTACAACATTTGATATAAAGTTACATTTCTGTCAGAATTACAAATGATACTGTGAACACACTACTGATTGGAGGTATTTGGGAGAGCAGGACTGTGGTTATGAATACTAATCAACCTGTTAAACAGAGGGAAGAACATGAGAAGTCATCCAAGTGCAGGACTGATGCTAAGGCGACCATGTGGGGTTGTTGGAAAAGGAGACTTGGCTGTGTTTCCTCCGATTTACCTACGGTCCCAGTTTGTTAGTATTTACTCCATTATTGGGAAATTACATGGCTTTGTAAGTTCAAGTCAATTGTATACTAATGGGAAAATGTATGGCATTATGAAAATACAATCCTAGTAAGTATATGTGTTTGCAGGCTGACTTTTAAAATGTTGAGATAAAAGGGCTCTATACATACTTACTTAATAAAAGCAGTATTCCTTTGTGTAGCTATTGTTTTCTGACCACTAATATATTCTGTTTTAAAAGAAAGACCTCATTAGGGCCAGGGATTTAGCTCAGCGGTTCGGTGCCTGCCTTGCAAGCGCAAGTACCCAAGTTCAATCCCTGGTACCAAAAAAAAAAAAAAAAA